AATTTGACATTATATTTTCATCCTCTTAAGCTAATTTTCAACGAGTTATTTTCCTCGCTTTGGTACAGTCGCTTTCGTTAAAAATGTAACGGCATTTCTATTATTAGTTTTTGCTACGGACGAAATCCAAGTTCGGTATATCACTTAAAATTTTCTTTTATGACACTCTATGCTTGGTTAATTTTTCGAATAAAATGAAACAAATAAATAAGAAGTCATTTTTTATTTAATAATGCATCAGTTTGTACTAAGACATGAATTAAAATAAGGCAATTAAAAAAAGGTATTTTTTTTACATAAGTATCAATATAGCATTGTAGATATACAATATATTAAATATCGCAAACTTTTAATATTATCCTGATATTATATTTTGGGTCAGGAAGACGAACGAAACGCAGCACGTTGTTAAGGGCTTGATAGTGTAAAAATATTTATACGATTTAAGTGTTCTCAGAATGTAAATCTGATAAAATGCTTAACTTAGGTAATTATCTATACATTACCAGGACAAATCTCGTGTAAGTTGAACAGAGAGAATTGTATCCAAATCTTAGGTTAGACCAGTAATCCCTAACCATTTATGTAAATTTTAATAAGTAAAAAACTGATTTTACCCACCATTCAACATCCCGGCGCTGTCTAACTGCAGGCGGAGATATATCTCTAGATATATCCGTGATATTATAGTTTTATTTCGCTTTCAGCACTTCTTAAATAATATTTCACATTGAGACGGCATTATTATTCTTTTGTTTTTGGTCTTATTTTTAGGTTCTTTATCATCCCAAAAGAAAAGAAAAACTGATTTACTCCATTGGGGTAATTACCTCTAGGTTAGACTGAACAATACAGTAAAGTTGAATTTTTATTACGAAACTAATTTCACGTTTCACAAAACTAATTTCGGCGTGAAATTACTTTCGTAGTGGCGTGCAGTCTACTGTATCTCTGAAATTACAGTTACGTTAGCACCGAAGTTTATTTTGGGCGGATGGTATTACGACATTAGTTTCGCCATGTAAATCATGATGAAATTAGTTTCATCAAAAAAGTGCCATACTATACTTTAGTATCGTGAAAGCGAATGCTGCTAACTGAAATTAATACAAAGAAACTACATAGTTTCATGCAAGTTCTTTCTTAAAGTAAATTCGACTTCAAATAGAGGACAGGTCGGTGAGAACGTAATTCGACCATGAAAACTCCTCCCCTAACAACAAAACCCTCCCTATCCAATGCCAAGCCTGTAAATAGTACACTTGTAGTACTATTGTGGCCTCGACACCCTATTAATATTATAAGTAGTAACAACTACTAAAAGTTAACATTAATAGAACTGAACGTCGAGCTCAAAATAAAAATAAATTAACGAAGTAACATGAAAACTCTTAAAATGAATTTTAAAATTTGTATGTATAATTTAACAGTTTTACGTGTTACGTATTCTTATAAATAATATTTTAATAAACGTAAAACTGAGACGATCTTTTTTTTAATTATGTACTAAAATAAAAAAAATTACGAGTTTATTAAGTCATATAAAAAACACTTATTTTCAAACTGTTTTTATTTATATTAAAATAATCTACAATACTTGCAACATACTGATTAATTCAGTTGATTTTTTTTTCATTTTGCATAATTGGATAGCCGAATGCAGTGTCGAAAAATAAAAGAGAAAAAGCAATGGGTTTTTGGGAATGTTTTGTGAGTGCAAACAAAGGGTAATAACTATAGACATTAAGTAAAATAAGTCTATCATTCAAGAAACATTTTGTTAATGACATTGGTCCCTTATTAAATGAGGATTCATAGATTTAGCTCAGTGAAAGTAATGTTTCAACTGGTAACGAGACAAAGATAATAATCTGCAAATTCGTATACGGTTTCATTCCAACGTACTCAAAGTTGTCTTAAAAATAAAGATTAAAGGATACGAGAATGACGCATCGATCAAGATAATCTTAAAATAAATTTTTTAAATTAAATTACACTGAGAAAAATCCACAAATTAAGCATTCTAAGTTCTAATAATTTTTTATTAATTCTATTAAGTGTTGTAATTTTAGTCAAGGCCGAGCCACTAGTGATGAGTAGTGAACTATTGAATGAAAACGGAAGGTATAGTCGCGCACGCAAAACTAAGAGTGTCAATCAAGTTAAGTTTTGTTGTGATAACAACATCATAGATAGTATCGTGAAGTTATTCTGACTTTTAGAACCTGTACAATTATTTACAGTCCCATTAAAACAATAGCCCTTGAACAATTATATCTTTTGTTACCTAAAATAAATAATAAGTATAATAACAGTATAGTTTTGTTAATAATCTTATCGATAGAGTTATTATGGTTATGGTATAATAATCAATGCATCTATCGATACTATCGGCAAGAATTAAAGTATCAATTCTATTAATGATAAAAAGACTATAATTGCTATCAATAGACAGAGAAATTATCGTTATAGCAAAAAGACTAATTGATATCCACTTCCCGCTAAATAGATCCAATCTTTTGCTCATTTAAGTTCTATAGTTTTCACTTGTGGCTCGAACTAGAACTGTCATTATTTCATATGTATATACTAAACCTAGTTGCTTTAAGTAATAAGTTCTAAGTAGACGACATAATATTCGTAAAATTACGAGTATAGGATAAAATTAATAAACGCTAACATTTGATTCTATCAATAGATTTTCTACAATTTTAAGTACCTACTCGTATCTATGTAGAGAAATTGATGTCCTAAAAGAATAAAGACAATTATACAAAGTATTAAAGGTTTAATTTTACCTTTTCTTCTTTTTAGAGTTCCGCACCGAAGGGTAAAAACAAGACCCTATTACTAAGACGTTGTCCGTCTGTCTATCACCAGCTCATAAACTGTGATAGATAGACACTTGAAAATTTTACAGATGATGTATTTATGTTAACGCTAAAACAACAATTACAGCCGTTATAAAAACAAAATAAGATGAATATTTCAGGGCTTCCAGACAACAAACATTTTTTATAGATAAAGATAATAAAAAGGAATCCTTCGTGCGCAAATCCGACTCACACTTAGCAGGTTATTTTACAATAATATCATTATTCTGCTGCTTGAGCCAAATATGTATTTAATTTTACAAAAATATTTTGATATATACAATTTCATATGAACCTACGAGTATAAATACATACAGGAAATTATAAAAATCACTAGTACCTGTAATCTTAAAATATCTGAATGTGGAGAAAGCAAAATTGTGGAGGGTGGCTGACATATATAGAAGCAGCTTTGATATTCTGTAAAATTACAGCATCAAACACAGCACTGATGTGACATGAAAGGTTCAATCAAGTTAAATTATTATTACCTTTAAAACGGGACTTATATTACGAAATTAGTTGCATGAAACTATTTTCATTGCACTAAATTCGCTAGCATTTGCATGTGTTAAAGTACAGTTTTGCAATGCACACATTAGTTTTACGACACCAAAGTAATTTCGTGCGATTTGCATATTTTTGATGAAACTAATTTAGCGAAATTTATATGGCGACACCATCTGCGTATAGTAAAGCTTCGATGTTGACGGAGCCAGCGTCTGTTTATGACACGCCATTATGAAATTAGTTTCGCATGTGCCGAAATCAGTTTTAAGTTTCATGCAACTAATTTCGTAATGTTTATTCGGTTTCAAAAGTGGTTTTACTTGATTAAACCTCTTATGCTGTGACATCGCAGTTTTCGACACTGTATTTGTAACATGTCATTGCATTTGGTTTAAATATAACAGTTTTTGTAAGTTTATAAACTATTGATTTTTACAATGTCCCATTGATTACATTCTATCTTAAATTAATTATAATACCGTTTCCGATAACTTCACGCATTCATAAACTTAAACAGCGCTTTGGTATTTATAATTCACATCTTTATTAATTACAACCCCATATTTTATACGCTGGCAAGAAAATGTAAGAATATTTTAGCTAGGTATGTGATATTTGTAACATTATTTTATAAAGTTTTTAAAGTTTCTTGCTAACAGTGGTGCCAATTCTGCTCTCTAAACTAAACTAAAAGAAAAAGTAATTTGACTTTTTTTATGATTATGTAATTTAAAAACTACAATTAAATTATACTCTTGTACACCATAAGTTTACATCTTTTATATTGGTTGTTTACAGCATTAAAAGCGCACTTTGACAGCATTTATACTAAAGTTAGCCCAGTTCGTGAAACAGAATTGCCACCAGTAAATACTTATGTTTTTTTTCCGAAACAACTTTTAAAATACTTTAATTTGAGCTTATTAGGAGTGTAATACAAAATCAAAAATTGCTTCTGTTGATTATATCTAAGCCATTTAAAGCACAATGTGTCATTGATATAAGACGTAAGTTATTAGAATTGTCATAAAACGCTAATAAATAATTAATTTAATTAATCCTAAAACGGTATTTATAACAACATGGACCCTCTATATAAGAAAGATACAATTCTAATGCTTTCACACTTGTATTGATAGGCAAGAGAGGTAATTAATTGAGGATAATTTATGCAAAAATTTGAACCAATAGACAAGAATTTAAATGAATTAAGAATTGTTAATAGCTAATAATAATAGTATTTTATCTGTAAACATTTTATACTTCATTCCAATTCTTGTTTATTCGGTAAAAATATGGATCTTAGGTTTATGGATTGGTTAAGGAAGATGGGTCATGCTTCTCACGCTGACCCAATGCGCATTGAAGGACATTAACGACTGCAAATGCAGCCGGGACTAATGGTTTAACGTGCTTTCCGAACATAATAATTTAACTAAACATAATAATTTTTGCCCTTGCCAAAGTTACTTAACAATAACGACAGTGGGCCCCGATGCTTATCCACTATGCTATCGTGCTACATCACATATTCTCAAGTTATTAATTCTCTCGACTATGGATACGAAAGTAAAAGTATAACTATCAATTCCATTACTATCTAAAAATACATTTAGGAAAATGGAATTTGGGATATGCACATTCTAAACAACTTTCCGAAGGAAAAAATCGTTTTGAATGGAATAATATAGTTAGTGGAGATATTTTTTTTTTTATTAAAAGCGTCATTTTGATAACTTAATGTTACATTTTTTCTTTTCCAACGATATAATCATACTTTTTAATTAAGAAAATTTTTGTTAATGTCGAAGAAACATTTATTTAACGGAAAATGTGTCAGAATATTTTTTTTTACATTGCTTTTGAACCGTAAAATGCGATCTGTTTGTTAATTTTATTAGGTCGCAATTGTTGTGGTAGGACCAACTGGCCCTCCAATGAAGTATATTGAAAAGACAGTGCTCTTAAGACTGGATATTGTTATCAAGTCTAGACGTGGAACATTTAATTTACTCGTAAATCCTAGATAATTTATGTTTAATTAAGTGGTTATATAGAATCCGGATATTTAACTCAGAGTTGGTCAAAATATAATCGTGGCTTGTGGATTAAGGAATGCCGCGCAATAGTTGAACAAGAATTCATTTAAAACATCAGACGATTGATCATTCAAGTTCTAATCATTTACTATGCAGATGATATCATTATTGATAGATAGTTGTTTAGTAGGTGCCTATAATTTTGTGGTTTTGAAACGCATTTATTTTTATTTCGCATAGGTATTAACTACGTAAATCTATTTTTTTATTTATTAAATAAAAACTCCAACTATAGTAAAAAATAAGCCGAGATAGTTAGTCATAGGAATTTTTATGTCCATCACAAAAAACAACACTTTAATTAGAGTTATGAGTTTCCATTTATTTCTATAGTTTAATATCCTGAATAAAGTTACATTTACGAAGAAAACTTCGCCGGCGTGGTTTTCCCGCTTTTGCAACATTTTTCGTTGCTGGTTCACTCTTATTAGCCATAGCATAATATAAATATCCTATTGCCTTCTTCGTTATATGGACTATTCAACACAATTTTTTTCAATTCTTACCAGTAGTTCCTATGATTAGTTCAAACAAATAAAACTAATTATTCAGCTTTATGCGTATAGATTCTATTTTTATTAATTTTATCATGTACTGATATGTATTTTAACAGTAGTAAACAATCGTTGGTAGGTTTAGGATACTACAACTTCGATGTTAGAATGTTACAAAAGTAGAAAAAAAGGATGAATAATTAATTTTCACTTTAAATCCAGAAACACAACTGTGTTGTCAGTGCACTAAGTGAGTATAAATTCCTGTTTAAGTTATATTTAAAAGGTCACTTGACAATTTTATAATTTTTTCACGCAAAACTCGATTCATAGAATTATTTTTATGCAAATTTAAGTTTTTACAATTAATTTGTATAAACATATTCATATGATTTTAATTTTATCACACGACGTTTGGTTGTAAAATTCATTAAATTTATCAAACTTGTTTCGATTGAATAATTTAAGGTTCTTTTACCCTAGAATTAATTATCATTCTCGTAGATCGTAGATCGATTAATTGGATAAAGAATCATTGCTACCAGAAAATATATAAGTTACTTATGTTTATAATTTTAGCTAAATACATTAGTTTTTAAAAGCTTCTTATAATGCTTAATTTAATGACGAGATACAAAAAAAGTCCCGATAATGGCTTAATCGATAAATTTATTTCGCTTTGGAATTCTTTATTTTACAGAGAATTTTTTGTTGTTGATAAAATTCAATTACTGTTGTATATGTGAGATAAATATTTTGGGTACAGTAAATATGCAAGGTTAATTAGAATATATCTTGTTTCATGACGACAATTAGTTAGTTCCATTAACATAACCATTGTTGTACTAGTCTAGCGCCATCTGATATAACCGCAACGAGAACCCGTAATAATTAGTGAATTTCGATTAATTCCCCCGATTTAACCAAACCTAGTATCGGTCCTTATCTACAGTAGGGAATTGAAAGTGAAACTCAAGTATTAAGCACGTACGAGTATATAACCATATGTGTCTGTGAGTGCCGCCGAGATAAGCAAGGGATTCGCTTCAATTTTTTAATCCTTCCTACTAACTGATAAAGGAAAATTGTCTCTCTCTATGTTTTGCAAATATGTAAAAAATCATATATATGTTCACTTATCATATGAATATTGTAAGCGCGATGAAGGTTGCATCTCAACGCCACCTTATATCGGCTTGAAGTAGTTTATAGTTTTCGTTTGTTATCGATTATTGTAGCAATGTAAGTGCATTGTAACAGATATGGCTGACACAGAAGTCAGCGTAGGTATTTAGCATTAGTGCCAAAATTTTTACATTCACAGTGTAAAGTCACAACCGATGAGTTCAAACGTACAGAGACGAGCAATATAACAGTGCACTGGATTGACGAAAATCACTATTACACTAAAGTTTTGTTTTAAAATCACGATTAATTATTCTGGTTTAGTACAGAGGATCCTAAAGTTCAATCTCACAAAGTGTCTTTCTCTATTCTGCTTCTTCTCCTTGACAGTTTCTCTGCTTCTTCTATGGTGTCGGGTAGTCTCATATTCATTGTTTCCGGCAGTAAAAATACCAAAAAGTTCGATATTATACACATCACTCCAAATATCACCGTCGGCATCGATTTATGGTATGTTGTCTGAAAAAATGTTTAATTTTAAACTTGAGGTTAATGAATGCTTGTAATTAATAGACTGTGTAATATCTAAGAAATAATAGCATTAGATGACCACCAAAGACGTCGAGAGCGCTAGTCGATCATGTTAATCGCTAATTACTTTTATTTATATGGTTTTTCTTCCCCTCTTCTAGAAATATATATCATAAAAAATCTGTCCCATATGCCTGAGAAAAGATTTAAACCAATTGCAGTAACAGTCTCGCTAAGATCTCGGGTAGCTATGTTAGATAAAGAATTGTATGGTGAAATCCTATCCTGGGCATCTGGGACAGTTGTATTTTAACAATTTTTTTTTGTAAGAGAAATGTCGGTATAGTGTTGTGAATGCATAATTATAGTAACTATAATAAAGAAGTAGGTTCATAAGAACTCACCAATAGAGGCGTAAGTGGAGCAACAAGGGAGCCTATTCTTCCAGCAGTTGAACAAAAACTGATCAAGGTCTGCCTCATGTTTGTAGGGAACACCTCAGATACATATATGTAGACGGAACTGTAGGCCAACGTCACACTCCACTTCCCGATCAGGTACAGGGGAATAGACCAATAGTCATCTGTGCACAAGATTTGTGAATAAATAGATAATATAGACATTAAACAAGAACAGCTTGCTCAGATATTAAACTAGCCTGCATTTAATAACATATTATATTTGCAATTTGCTCTGGGTATACACCTAAATTACGCAGACAAAGTGGTAAAATAAAATTTGGGAAGAAAAATAAAATTTTATACCTCCCCTATATGTAAAGCGGGGGTGTTTTTTTTTCGTTATTTCCATAGCGTGGGGCATCATTAATGAATAATGACAAAGTTCAAAAACATTGGGGGTGGGGGAAGGGTGTTTTTCGATTAAGTTAACTGTTAGTCAAATCGTAAAAGCTTCAAATAACTAATTTTCAATAGAGTCAAGTGTCCCCCCCCCCCCCCCACTACTAATTAAACAGTGATTGGTATAAACTCAAAAGTTACGGAAATAGTATCTATAAATAACGAAGTTAAAAGGAAGACTATCACATTTAAGTTGGCTTTACGAGTTTACAATAATAGTTGTATTTAATTCGAAAATTTCAAACAACTCCATAGAAAACTACAATTGTGATTCTTTTTAGTTTTGTTTTTTAATGGATAATGTTACGGAACCGTTCATGCGCGAGTCTGTCTCGCACTTGGTCGGTTTCTTTTATTTAGGCTTTTAGAAAATATTATTCGTTATATTATTAAAGAGCAGTCATCATACTCATATTGTTAATTCAACCGAATAACAATACAATTGTAAAGATGTCAAGAATTACTTTTGCGTATCATTAAGTAATAGTAGCGAGTGCATCTTCCATTAACGATAAACGTAATCTTACAAATTTTAGAAAGATAAAATAATGTTTCAATATTTGTCACTTTGTTTTTCCTTACGGGTGTGTAACGTTTGATATAACAACATATCGTATAACGTTCACAACATATAACAACAGATGACATAAAATCTTTTAATATAACTTTCATTTGGTATAATCAACGAATGATACAATTTAAAAAAATAATAATTTCATAACGTATAACTTTTTATGAACGTTTGGTATAAAAACGTTTGAAATAATCAACATTTGCTATAATACTCATCACGTATAATACTCAAAACACATAATAATTGTTTGATATAATTATAATTTGATATAATTTACCTTTCGCCTAATAATCAAATGATATAACCTTGTATGATACGACACTTGGACCTAAATATAATTGACCTTAAAAACGTTGTGTTTTATTATTTAGTTTTTATTATTAATAAGGATTTAGGTGGGATGGCTTATGTGGCTCCGGTGCAGCGAGGCTCCGGCGGTCCCACGCGAACTTTTTACCGCAGATGGTTTTCGCTCACCACCGCAGCTTCGGCTTGCTGGCACTCGCCAGCCTTAGCCGCGGCGGCGAGCGTTAAAACCACCTGCTCCTCAGCTCGCAGGCCGCCTCGCCCCTTAGCGCCTATGCGGGTTTTAAATTACAGTCTAGAGGTAGGGCAGACAAGACTACGTGGAGTCAAGGTAAACTGAGTCGATTTAAATACCTTTTTAGTAAATCACCCATATTTTTGTTTAAATAATCCACAAATATGATTAATTACATAGAAACCGTATTTTGGAATAATTACTTTATTTATTTTGCAAAACAAACGTATTCTATGAAATAAAATTATTACAAACGAGTATATCAAATCACCGTTACCTATAGTGAGTATTATATGTAATGTATTTATATCAAATAAAAGCTATATCAAAAGCGATTAATTGAAGTGTTGTTATATCAAACGTTTATTATATGAACGTTATTGAAATGAAATTATACCAAATGAAATTATAACATCTGATGTGCACCCTTTCTTTACCGCTATAAATTATGATATCCAAAAGTACAATAATTCTTTTTTTTTTAAATGTGTCGTTATTCTGGTGTACGAGCGATACACTTATGTATATACACACGTAAAATATTTAGCTGCAGGCTCTGCAGCATAAGCCAAACAGTTAGAAATAATCCTAAATCACGTTTTGAGGTTTTGAGGGTCTATAAATAATTGACAGTCACAAGCTTTAATACATGTTAGTTTAATCGTACGTTAACCATTATATTTAAATGGGTCCTTGAAACCGTTTGCCGACAACACAAGCCTGTCAACGCCGCCACGTGGCAATGATGTGTTTGTTTACGAAATGTGTAATAATTATGTTATGTCCATATCTTTATCGCTCTCCTAACGTATGTATATATCAAAGGCTTTCGTTGAAACAAACCACGAACGGTTTCTCGATGAAATAAAATTACAACATTATTACTCTTAGATAACAGTATCTTTTAATTTAAATTTGACGGGTCTTCAAAATTGATTAGATATTTCTTGGAATATTTTGAAATGGATCTAAAATTTATTATATAAGTTTAATCAAGTTGATTAATTAAAATATTGATGATAATATAGTTTTTATAATGTCCTACATTTGTATTGTACATTTGTATAGGTCTTTCTTATTGTACACTTTTTATTATTTTTAGCGTGATTATGTTTTCAATAATTCTATGGATGAAAATATTATAACTCTATCGATTTACGACTGCTAATAGATCTGATTAACGTAGGTATGAAGGACACAGAACACTTATAGAGTCTTCGTCTAAGTAATAGGCATAGGAAATTTTAGTCTTTTATAATTAAAATCAAGATTTGTTAGTGCGTTAATAATAATAATAATAATAAACTCACATCTCGGTAAGAAAGCGAACAGCAAGCAGGTTAGAGCACTCGTCGTATATGTCGCTATTAATGTCCTCTTTCTTCCATACTTGTCTAACACCATCACAGCCACAACATAAGCCGGTATCTCCACCAACACAACAAGCATGAAGCTCACGTACTTATTACTACTCAACGACACTGAATTTATTGACAATCCGTAATAAACGAGCGAACACGTCATCCATAGAAATGAACAAATCATCAGTCTTCTCCATATGATTCCTGAGCGCAAAGCTTTAGAGAACTGCGATTTCTTGTCAACCGTCTGATTTTCAGGCTTCAGAAGTGGATTCGCTAAGCTGTCCAATTCTAAATGTCTGGGATCGAGTTTGTTTATTTTTGCGGCCTTTTTTAAGACTTCTACAGCTTCATCTTTTCTCCCTTTGCTGAGCAACCATCTTCCGCTCTCATTCATGAACCAGATGTATAAGAGGACTATCACAGCTGGACTGTAGAGGATCATGACGTATGTACGCCAGTTCTCAACGAACCATGCTAGCAATGCGATGAGAACGACTCCAATAACAAAGGTCATGTTGCACATAGCTGACACAATGACTCTTTGTTTTAAGCCAACGAGTTCCACAACTGAAACAAATAGGTATAAATGGTTAAAAAAAAGCTCAAGGAGAAAATTTCAGGTCAAGAATATTTCAGAGTTTTGATTGGCTGATAAAAATATTTGATAATGACGTAGATGAAATTATATATGATGTAGATAATATAAGCGGTCATAAAAGTAAGAATAGTAAAATCTTTAAGTATCTTACTGAAAACGTAAGCTGACGGGTAAAGACCGCCGCCTAAGGCTGCCTCGATGAAATGCAGAATAACATACGTTATGTAATCATTTGAGAATGCTCTAGAGAATCCGAATATGAAACTGGTCAAGCATGCGAAACCCACAGCTATTTTTCTTCCATATCGGTCGGATATGGCTCCAGTGAACAACATCGCCACGAACATCCCACTGTTATGGATTGTACCAACCAATGTCCTCTTCCAGTCAAGACAGCCGAGGTTAAACTGAAAAAAAGGAAGTAAATTCAATGATAAATTCAGAATAATATAATATTTTTGGTCGTTTACATGCATTTTGTATTGATAATTATCACAAGGGAAACTTTTGATGCTTTGGACGTAGTCACAATGGGATTTTAATGACTCCAAATTGAAACAAAAAATCTTCGAAGCGGTATTATATATATTTTTAGAAACTTCATTTGTCAACATTATGCCAGTTAGTTAGCGATATAGGCAATCGCAATATGTCGATTTTAATCATTTCACACGTAGGGAAACAGTAACAAATCTAATGTTTAGTTGAAGTCGCTACCTTCTATTTAGTCGTAACTAAAGATGCAGCTACAGTAAAGTATCAAGATCTATTTGTTCCCATAACTGGTCACGGTTAATAGCAAGTTATAAAAGTTCACTTAAGAGTGCTCGAACACGGCACTGAGGAACACAGTGCTGCGTTCGACATTGTATTTATAGCGATGTTGTTTCATTCTCTTTTTTACTCAAACTTACGTATTGTTATTGATATAGAGTAACACAGGAGTATATAATGGCTAAATATTTACGATATTTATGTACCTCTTTGACAAAAGATGTTGGTTCATCATAGACAAATGTCTCACAGGGAATAGTTTTATTTGTAAAATCTTCCGCAACGCATTGCATATTCGTGTTGTTGTGGGCCGGTGCAAACCTCTTGCACGAATCCAACTTTTCCTTTTCAGTATTATAAGGTATTGCATATTGAAGCCAAAAAGTGTCATTTAATTTTTGCTCACATCCGTACACCTCACATCTAAAAATTAAAGATAATAGATAAATAATACACCACATCACATATAGAACTTAGATAGGACTGGCCTGTCATTATAGGAAGCAAGGCAATTGCTTAGGGCGCTCGTATTTGGGGGACACGGCATGGCATATAATTGCTGTAATTGTTTGATCCATAAAAATGCAGTACCTTAAAAAATACTTTGGGTCATTAAACACGAGTCTATGTCCGCGATATTTTCAGATCACCACCACCAACATTAGTCTAGAGCTCAAATAGCTATAATTGGCTATTTGATTGTTTTGAGAAAGCATTTTAAAACTTTCATATGATTATATTAAACCACTATCAGATTTATTTTTCTCCAAAAAGTGTTGTGAATTCAGAAAAAACATATTTTTATTCATTAATTTAAATTGCCCGCAATAACAACCAGTCACGTGATATCAAGCCGTGACGTCACATTTCAATAAACATGAGTACTGTTTGCATTCGCAACAGAGACGATTATTTATTGAAATGATATTACGCCATGGCCGTCCGTATTTCGGTTCTTGTAATCAACAGATTACAAATCGCAAGTTAAGTTTGGAAAAATAAAATGGGTATACTAACAATTTATTTTAAATAAAAAATGCTACATACCTAGTTATTTTTTATATATAAGTAACCATTTCAAACATATTTCATAATTTATTTATTGTTTTAACTGTCAAATAGCCAATTCCAGTGTTATAATGACGTGTGACCTTAATTGACTCGGATTTCCATAATAGGACCCGGTTTCGGCCACTTGGCACTACGCATTGATAAATATACTTTAAAGTGACGGTTTTTTAGATGTAGAATTATAGTAAAACTGACAGAAGTGATGTGTCAAAGTTCATTTTCTCGTAACTTTTAAAAATGGCCAAAACCAGGTCATAATCTTAATACGGCTAAAACCGTGTCATCAGCCGAATAATTATCTTATTTTGGAATCTGAGCAAGAATAAGTTACTTGTGTCATATTTATCTATATAAATAAAAATGAATTTCCGTTCGTTAGTCTCGCTAAAACTCGAGAACGGCTTAACCGATTTGACAAAATTTAGTCTTGATATATTCGTGGAAGTCCTGGGAAGGTTTGAACGATGAGAAAATATGACAAAATTGAGAGGATAATACTAAAAACGACAATTTGAGTTTCCCATACAAACTGTTCTTAGCTGTCAAACGTTCAGTTGACGATCAATATTTATGGTCGTGCAGTGGTCAGTTTACGCAATATTTTTCAATATTAATATGGTTTTTATTAAGAGGTAAGTCATACGAAGTTCACCGGGTCAGCTAGTTTATTACAATTATTAATGATAATGAAAAATAACTACGTGTAATAGCCAACCAGATATTGTGATTACCGAGAAAAAATACCAACATCTCGGAGATGGAACGATGTGAAGTTGGCTAGCCATCCAACTTTTTAGGTCATTAATAAATATTTGCAATAGTTTATCAGCACAATAGTAAACCGAATTAATAAAAGGATACTTTGCGGTATAAAGTTTAGTAATTGGAATTTGTGGTCTAGGTAAACTTTATAATTGATTTTATAAGGTTTATTCGGTATCCATACTTTTTTATTTGATAATTTTGAAATTTGATAATCTTCATCTTATATACAATGAAATAAATATAAAATTTTGAAACGTAATAATGAATGACATTAACATAAACCTTCTCATTACCAAAAACATTGGTATAAGTAATTGTTAACAATCTTAATTAATTTGTATGATTGATTCTCGGAGTCATGCCGACTGACTACAGCGATTCTCCCTCAACACCTGACACCGACAGACCTAATAACTTAAGTCACCAAAAGGGTGTCAGTGGACGGATATAACCATGGCAACGGGAGACCTATACCATGGCGTAATATTATCAAATATGTACGGATATTTTAAAAAGTAAAAAGGAAAATTTCACGCAAATAGCTATTTATTTAAAGTTTTTACATAAATTGTATAAAAAATGTAGTAAATAAAATTGTCATACGGAACTTTGCACTGTACGTGACCTACTATTGGCCAATTTTATCACTAGCAATTACTGTAACAAACGTAATTCTCCTCTATCTGTATGGTTTATCTGAATTTAGATAGGGGATGAGCTGTGTTCGATAGATTGTTATCTAGTTTAGACAGTGTGATATTACTAATATAACACGTGAACGGCAACAATATCGATAAATCTAATCACACTAGTATCATTGATTGGCTAGTGCCATAACCGATTGATAACTTTGATCCGTGTTAGTTATTAGAATTACCTGAGGCAATGTCTCTTAATCACTTAGCCGAGGAATCCGATGTGCTAGATTTAACTAAAGCTTATAACTTATATGTATTGTGTTTAGTGTGTCCCGTTGATGAGTTATGTAATCCATTTGTATCTGACCTGACTGGGTCCATTTGTTACATTTTCATTGTGATGTAATTACTTGAGTAAATTGCATAATTTAAAGAGATATTTTTAACCAATAGTCGAGAATTTTAATGAAATAAGAGCTGTTAATAGCTAATAATAATAATATTCTTACTATTAACAGTTTTTGCTTCATTAAAATTCTTGTTTATTTTTTAATAAATATGTGCTTAAGTAATTACTTAAAGTAATTACTTTTACTCAAGTGTAAGAGCCAGTGGTCGGCAGACAGCGTGTATATCAAAAAGTCTTAATTCCGTTCAGAAAATCTCCCATACCTACTTAAAATTTAATTAATATTGATCGACGGGAATTCGTGTGTTTTAGGTAGGTCAGGTCTAAATTTTTGTTTATTTTTTGTTCGCTATAATATTTTTAGAGTTATGTTTAGAAGATGATGACGCACTTTTAAAAGCTACATATGCATTTATTTTTTACTCGACTGCCCAAAAAATCAGTGTATTGTTTATTGTTTATGTGTGTATGTTTATTTAATGAATAATAACTTTAGAAAAACATAGCGGATATGCATTTATAGGGGATCAACAGAAATTGTACATCATCCCGAGTGACACTTATGTGTGGAAAAATTGTTATCTAAGAGGTCCCCGGCTGCAATGAGAAAATGTTTAGCCAAGCCATAAAATACCTGATTTTTTTATTTTTAGTTCGATTTTGGCACTCGTATTTTTTTCAATTTATCATTCAGTTTGCATAAACTTTAAAATGCTTAAGTATTGATTTTTAAATGTCAGGTTACTTTGTTATCTGACAACAAAGAAATAATGTTTATTGAAAAATTTCGTAAAATAATAAAATACGAATAAATGATTCAGTGGTTCGATATTTTGCAATAGATGTTCTAGTCGTTCTAGTGGATCTTGAAAATACACCACTCCATTATGCATTATGTCACGAAGACGTGTCATATCTCTAAAGCGTGCTTAACGTGTACGTATTGTTACGTGGGTGATATAAATCCCACGTGTAGACGTCATCAACCCACACCAATGTTGAATTACGTCGACTACTTAATCGAGCAAGAAATTTATTTACTACTCCATAGTCGTAACTATACTGTATGTGGGATCATAATTACAGGGCGAAATCAAATTGTAAAATATACAATGAATTTTAATGCGGTTTTCATCAATATACATATCGCACACCTAGATCTAAACTAAGACAACTCAAAAAGCTAATTTGGAGGTTTGACAATACATTTGTTTACGTGGCAGGAACGCGACCACTGTTGATTCCGCAAAAGAAAGCTAAAGTTATCTAGCGGCTCATCCCCGAACCTTTATTGAATCTGTTATGTTGGACAGATGCGTATGATCACCGAGTATTTGAATATTGTACTAAGTCAAAACTCACTTAAATTTTTGAGTTGTCTCAGTTTAGATCTAGGTGTGCGATATATAAGATGAATGTTTATACTAATAGGAACACGAGGGAAACCCGGTAACAGTAAGTTAGTTTATATGTACTAATATTAAAGTATCAAAACTCACAATAATAATTTTGCTTTTTAAATTCTTTTAAGGGTTGATTTCATTTTTTTCGTTATCAACGTGTTTAGTTCCAAGGTGGGTTAAAAGTTTGAGTCTCCTACACAACTCTACAAGTTGCCCTTCAATTATAAAGTACCTTTTTACTGTTTACAATTAATAGAACAATGATCTCACTAACAGTGTACTCGTGCATAGTGTATTCGCGGGTGCCAGACAATACCACATTTAATTTCACACGAAACAGAGCTAAGCATCGTGTTGCTTTTCTTAATAACAGAGGGACTATATTATTAAGTTTTTCTCTGTACCTAAGCGGCATGTTACTATTTAAACTTTCATACTATTAATTTTCATGGAATTTTTAATATTACAAAGCCCGGATACAGTTAAAAGTAAAAGTTCTAATATCTGTGATATGTTTGGCCAATGTATCCTTTTTATTATGTCACATAGTGAAAAGAATGTGAAGATGAATATTGAAAGCACAATAGGGATGATGACTGGGTTAAAAAAAAGCAATTCTATTTAGTCCGTCAGTCAGATAATAGAAAAATATTAGATACGTATTTTTTTTTTACTTCAATTTAACAAGAAATAGTATAGATAACAGGCATTAAAGTTGAGGAGTGGGGGCTCGCTACGTCACAGTTGAGTAGAAAACGTACTCTAACGTGACGTCATGCGAAATTTCAACTTACTAATTTTATGATTACGAAAAAAATACGTGTTTAATATTTTTAACACTCTACATGACGGACAAACAAAAATTAGTCATCATCCCTATTGAGATACCTAAATAATATAAATAATATTCTAAATCATAATACTAATTATCTTATTTACTGGCAATAACATTTTCTGGATGGCTATTGTGAATGACTGTAATGTAGATATTAAGTATATTAAAATAAACCAACTCTACTCTAATGGACTAAGACACTTAGTTACAACAATCAACAGTCTATCATAAACGGTAATATTAAATACATTCTTTTATTGCAATCTCATCACTATTTTTCTGATCTCCCTCCTGAGCGTTTAGTGTAAGTTTTTTTGACGTTTACGTTCACTGTCGATCGTGAGCGCATTAAGATTTTATTATGGAATCCGGTACAGCGCCCCTAGCGGTAACTAACAAGAACTACAAATCTCCATACAAATTCTTAACGCGCTCACTAGTGAACGCGTTAGCGTAAAACTTACACTTACCACTCAGCTACGGACCTCTAAAAACCGAATGTCATTTATAACCCTCTAATGGCGTAGCCGGTCGGCTGTGACGTGCATCGAACAGTTAGTTTATTGGACGCTATGTGCCGTTCAGTTCTAATCACATATGTCGCTGGCAATTTCGGAAAAGCCATTTTTATATTGGAACCGTTACGAATATTTGTAACGCCGGTATATCAACGCTTTATGATTTTATATGCGGGTTTTAGTAGTCAGTGCATAATATGAAAATGGAATTTCAAGAGATGCAATTTTGGACCTAATGTTTATTTTAATTATTAACACAGACATTATAATACTTACAATACTAGTAGTTGTTAAATATATTTAGATTTATGTAAATAATTCTGAATATGATTCAAGTAATTCCGAACAGTATAAATTTTAGCTATTCAGAAACAACATTCGTTTCAATTTTTCTTAAAAATACAATATTAAAATTTCGTGGCAACATTTTCTGCCACTTTATTTTTAAAATTAACTTTTAGTTTAATAAATCAAATGTAACGTGATAACTTACTATTAAAATATGTAGGGTATTTAAGATTCTGTTTTTTTAATATTTGAAATTTTGAATTGGGTTTTTTTAGAACTGAAAATGATACCGCGAATCATAAGAATAAATAGTTATATTTCATTATTGCGTCCAAATACAAAAAAATAAATTAAAATTACAATTGTCAAACAAATCCTTGACGCATTTAATTCAGTGGAAGATGTCAATTAATTTACAACAATTCGTTTAAAAATATACTCGCCTGTAAGCTTGGTCCCTCGCCTCAAAAATGAAGCCGCACTCAAAGAAACTACTCAAAAGTATTGGGTAGAGCAGTAGTACGAAGTTGAGCAGATTGTACCGGCCGTAAGGGCCGAGACTCTCTAGTACAGAGTCCAAATTGATTTCTTTCTTCCCAACCTCCATCCTGGTTTGGTTCTCCCTGTAAATGGATTGAAAAGTTTAAGTGCTACAATGCACTAACGGTTTTTGTGAGATCCATCGAGGAAACGATTCTTAGCGAGTTGAATATTTCAATATATTGTGTTGTGAACTTTAAAAATATGATTTTCCAGGGTTAAGATTTAATCAGTGGTCCAAATAAAATGTGATAAGAAATAAAAACGAGATCATAGTATTAAAAACTGATTACAGATATACAATATCTTTTCACTTAATAATATTATTTAATAAAAGTAAATATTTTATTTATTATTAAATAATAATGTAAAATTGGTTTGTAAAGTCGATTATAGTTATAGTTTTGGAATATTTTTGACGCTAATAGGGATGATGACTGGGTAAAAAAATGCAATTCTATTTAGTCCGTCAGTCAGATAATAGAAAAATATTAGATGTGTATTTTTTTTTACTTCAATTTCACAAGAAATAGTATAGATAACAGGCATTAAAGTTGAGGAGTGGGGGCTCGCTACGTCACAGTTGAGTAGAAAACGTACTCTAACTTGACGTCATGCGAAATTTCAACTCAATGTAACGCCGTAATTTTATGATTACGAAAAAAAAACATGTTTAATATTTTTTAACACTCTACCTGACGGACAAACAAACAAAAATTAGTCATCATCCCTATTGTGTGATATGCTATCTTATGGTACGTCTGTCTGTCGATGTATTGATTGCTCTCGCAAAATTTCTGTAGCTTTCTCGTAAGATTTGTGTTTACTCAAAATGCTTTCTATTTTGAAATTTGGGCGTCTCGCCCAATGAGGGTCTCAGAAATTTTTGGTTACCAATAGTTCCGGAATCGGATAAAATATGTTTTTATTTTAATATTTTCCAGTAAAGTATTGTCCATGAAAAATTGAAATTAAAACATGTTTTGTAAAATACACAACAAGCCCTTTCGGGACCTCTTTGATTTAGTTAGATATAATTTTAAATTGCAACACACTGCAAGACTATTATTTTTTTAATGATTTCAAGCAAATGTAGTAGGGTTCTTATCATTGAACTCGTACTAAATATAAAACGACGTAACTTGCCAAATTTCGTAGTTCGAAGTAAATGGTAAGTAAGTACTCTGTCAATTTTAATTCCATCGGAAGTGAAATAAATATCCCTACCTTTTTCACGTCTTCAAGAATTACTTTAAGGTTTTAATTTAAGCTTGTATGTTGTGCGTTTCAGAAATTAACAGTGTTCTTATAAAAAAATATCTGAGAGAGTGTTCTAACAACTGTTGCAATAAACCCTGTTTTAAATGGTGTAATTTGGCACACAGACGGATAACAAAGAGATCCTATAAGGATACGGATTTTTTTTATTTGAGATATGGAGCCCTAAAAATAAATATATAATATTTTTAGTCTTGAATCGTAACAAAAGGTGTAGGGGATGGGTTATTGACGTTGCTAGTTGCAAACAACTGTTTATTTTTTATTTCACTAATGTGTGCTAAATGTAATATAATTTAATTATAAATTAAACAACTTATAAACGGTTTGATTGCGTTCGAGTTTAATTTTATGATGTTTCGGACCCTTTATAGGTTCCGTCTTCACATAAGACATTTAATTATATAAAGATGAATGCACGAATGCCGCGACATCTTTATCATTCACAAAACTGTAGTTTAGAGCAAAAAGAAAATTTGTTTCTGTTTACAGTAAACTTAATTGGTAAAACTTTACAGTAAACACATAATGAGGTTGATTGAATTTCTTACCGATGTTTGGGAGGAACTCTCGCTGCTTAAGGAAGTCAAAAGCTCTAAGCCTGTTAACAAAAAAAGATTAAAGTTAAAATATTGGTAAAACAAACTACAACCTGCATTTCTTCTCTCATACAGTCTTAAGATTTTATGAACATCCATAATAGATAAATAGATTCAAAAATAAGTAAATCTATTCTTAAATTCTTTCACTATTAAAATATTTGCTTATACATCCTATACCTACTAATATTATAAAGTGGCAAAGTTTCTAACTTTGTTGGTTTGTTTGTAGGGGTTAATTTTAGAAAATACTGATCCGCTCATGAAAATTCTTTTATCAATTGGAAGCTACGTCAAACGCGAGTAACATAGGCTATAATTTATGTGATTGAAGTCGCGGGAAAAGACAGAAACAGATAGTGATTGATAAACCCTCTGGCTAGAAATACAAAGCAAAATAAGATGTATTTTAAGCAGATTAATAGTAACTGGGACCAATCAACAACACGAAGTGCCAAACACAATTAAAAGATTTGTGAAAAAATTGATCACCTATCCTATTACTGGCCACCGAGAAAGTTACTTAACATCCATAATCGCCGACCGCAGCGGCATAGAGTGATATTTTAATAGAATTTAAATGATCTCGGTGTCACTAGAGTGTTCATTGTAATAGGCAGACATGAATATTAAGAAGCTTCGCTTACGATGTAACAATAATATAACCAACACGAGGCACTCGGCAATGACAAAATGAAAAGAATAATGCTCTATGAATTGTTGCCATTGTGTTTCTTTTGTTTTCATTCATATACTGCCGCTAATTAATAATCTACTAGTTGTTTTCCCGGTATTCGACCTAAATTTAGCTTAAGTCACACGATAAGATGTAGATTCCCGTAGGCGAAAGAATTATTTAAATAGATCCAGTAGTTCCAGAGCTGTTCCAATGAAAAAAAAACGTTTACTCTTTGTAATAATAGGGATGATGACATTTTTTTATTTTCCTGTCCGTCAGATACGTTATTAAAAAATATTAATCAGGAATTATTGCGTAATCAATAGATTACGGCGACACATTAAGTCGAAATGTCACATGACGTTATACCTTTATATATTTTCTACTAAGCTGTGACGTAGCGAGCACCCACTCCATAACTATAATGTCTATTATTTCTTGTTAAATTGAAGCAAAAAACTTACATAGTTTTTTTCCATTATCTGAGTGATTAACTAAATAGAATTCATTTTATCCAGGCATCAACCTAATTTCAACTTTTCAATTAAATATGATGTGAATTATACTCTTTTATATTTCTATCGATTAAAAAGTCTTAAATAATTGTTTTTCTAATGCTGAGTTGATTATACTATTGAAATAAAAAGACCTCGTTATATAGTTCTGCCCGATAGGTTGCGAGCATTATTTATAATGCCCGGCCAATATGATTTTTTTTCATTTATTATCAAATAAATAAACATATAGATAACAAACAGTTTAAGATAACATCTAAAAACCACTGAGGTTTGAGTTGTTTTATCAGAGTTTACAACTTGTTTTTATTTTCGTAATTATAAAATCAGATCCTACATTTTATTACAAATTACATACATTGCAATCAATAGACAATTACAATAATAGCCTAAAATGATTTATAATGTATTAAAAAAGTACCCCTTTAACTTGTATTTAATATTTTTTCTGGATATGCTGTCTTTTAATTCTGTAGTTTAAATTGCCCTTTTATATTGGCCATTTTTCATACTGTGTGAACATGAGCATTATTTAAAAATACCCTTATTCCATGACTTATATAGAACCTATCGATATTTATATTGAGTAAAAATTAAATTTAAGAACTACTTCTTCTTATTCTTATTACAATTTTTATATTAATTGTGATTTTTTTATGTCTACAATGAAATCATACTATACGTTATTTATTTAATTGTAGACATAGTATGTTTCTATATCAAATATTATGATATGAAAACATAACAGAAACCAAAGCCAAAAGTAATGTACGTAAAATAAACACACACACAGTAGCAGATTCAGGTTCAATCAATAAACATTATTCTTATTGCCGGAGACAATAACAATGGTACGTTATTACAACAAACCGCCGTTTGTTGCGCACGCAATGTCTGCTGTGTGATTACTTTGAAATATGATTTCGACGCCAATCATTTCAACGTTAAAATTTATATTATCACGTCATTACCAGTTTTATACAAGCAAATATTTAATAAAAGCTTTCCGCCTGCGGCTTTGCCCGCGTGGACTCGGTTATTATCGCCGTTCGTATTTCCTTTCCTTATAGCAACTCCTTAACCATATTTTTAGCGATAAAACTATCTTAAGCCCTTTCCCATGCCCCAGTCTGTCTGTGTACCAAATGTCATTAATATTGGCACAGTAGTTTAGGCGTGAAAACGTAACCGACATAAGCACTGGCAGAGTTAATTTCGCATATATAATATTATATAAAAAGCTGGTAAGTTTCACTTATGATAAAAAGCTGGTAAATTTCTTTCGCTTGTTCTTCTTGTCAGCTAAAAGACGTCGTGAACAAGTGGTAGGGGAATAAATATTTTTGGACGATTCAAAAGTGCTTGTAACAATCTTACTTGAATAAAAACATTTTCATTTCATTTCATATAGTATGGATAATATAATAATACTATTTTATGATAATATGCAATATAATAAAATAAACTTTTATTGACAAAATGAGTCAAGAGTAGGACTTTCCACCAGGATAGCGTTTGCATATTAGGAAAAAAATAAAGATTTCACCAGTAAAAAAGGTAAAATAATTGATAGCAACAGGCCCGGATCTACAATTTCTAACTGGGGCAGAAACTTCATATGACGCCCTTCCTTTACACCACCATCTATGCTCCGTGAAGCTGGATTTAATATTATCATATTTTTTTCTTTTATATCATTTAGGGATTTGAAGCATGTCCCATCGTAGTCTATAATGTGTAGGAAAATATTTGTAAAACTAGAGCTTTTTTAACTGTTAACAACCCGTTTACGTCCCCACTGCAGGGGCTCAGGCCTTCCTTATGGATGGTTAAGGAGGATGGGCCATGTCCCTCCACGCTGGCCCAATGCGGATTGGAAGGTATTAACGATTGCAAATGCAGCCGGGACCAACGGCTTAACGTGCCTTCCGAAGCACGGAGTATCTCGAGATATTGAACAGAACGACTCACAGTCGGGACCCATTCAAATTTTACCAATCAAATCTTCTCAAAGGTTTCCGACTGTGAGTTGTGCTGTTCTGTATTACTTAACAGAATTCTAAACTACTGGGCTTGTTTCTTCCTTTTTAGTTTTTAGGTAAGTTAATTTTTCATGTTTTTTTTTAATTAGTTTTTACGCAGTCAGGTTTTATGTTTTTCTTTAAATTATTTTTTAATATAGAATGCACAAAATCTCCGATGACACATGTGCCAATTACGTGATACATCTAAGATTATACAGAACGATTATACTAGCTCTGACTAAACGCTCATAAATGTCTCAGACTAATCTCTTTATCAAGACTGAGTGAATTAGCTCTTCAATTATAGTCTTGTCTTTGTAATTGCCTAATTAACCTCTTAATCCTTTTATGACTTCCATCTTCAGCTTGAAATGGTTTGTCGGATAAAACGATTAGTGTTATGTATGATAGCAAGTTAAAAAGTGATTAATAATATTTCATACACTTTTTTCTTATTTGATTTTTTTTGGGAAATAATTTTGTATGAAAATCCATTATTCTCAAGTTGGTGTTCATGACTTGGTGCATTGCAATGTTAAGAAGAAAGAGACTCAATGAAGCACGAAAGAGCTCAATATAATAAACTCAGCGGCGCAGACTGAAGCATTTATCATTGCGCCATAAAGCTAGCTTTACGAACTAAATTAGCCTTTATGTACTGTGTCCATGAAACGAACCAAGTTTATTATTGCATATTAAATCTGCGTTACATTGGGTTGGTTTTTTTCACGGTTTATTAAAATACCATTTTCTTATCGTTTTCATGGTCTGCTTTGATTGTTTCACATTTAGTTAATAAATGATTTCGGGTATCAGAGAATTACCTTAGTTTATTTACAACGAATCAATTTAAACTAATATTATAGACAATCGAATAGCGAGAATGCACCATGACCTACCACATGGTCTAGTGGACTGGTAGGTATTAACGTCTGTCAACGACTTATCGTGCCTTCTGAAACAAGGAGGAGCTCGATATAATATTTTTTTGTCACCCATCCTTAAACCGGCCCTTACGAAAGCTGCTTAACTTGCGTAACGTAGATCGAATATAATTAATCATTGCGTATTGGAGCTCCTCAATGCCTTATCGTATTATTATATTTAGCTCTTGCTGATGTCCCTCGCGCTGCCGGCAATATTTCCATAAACACTGCTGCAGAAGGGTAAAGGTAAGGGTAAAATAAGTGAGTGTTATAACCAGTGGTCGGAATTAGGTAGAGTTATTCATGTACTTACACAGATTTCATACAGCGAAAGAATAAAGTGGATAAGCCTCAAATCCCGAAATTTATTGTAAATTAATGTAAACTAATAAAATTTTTATGTTAATTATCTTTGTTTTTTTGTCTATCTCTGACGTTGTTATTATTATTTAGTTGTAAGATTGTTGGCCACACGGGATTGTCCATTAGAAATCCCGGGAAGGTCCACATTAATATCAACATTTCGATGCAAGAACATAAATAACTCTACCTAATTCCGACCTCTGGTTATAACTATGACCTCACAGAAATATTTTTTTTTATATATTTCTGTATATTATCTACTTCTCAGTTCGCTTAAATACACTGAAAATATATAAAAAATTACAGATACTATTGAGGACAGGCAGCTTTTTTATATTTGTCTATGTTTTTGTATTTTTTTTTCACTAGGTGCCCACAGTGTCCACTCTTGTCGTTGATAATATTGATATACGTACCTACACACATTGCGTTTGATATATACACACAAAAACCGGTACTTATTCTTATTGAATGCAAACAATCATAATTAATATA